TTAACATGCTCCCCATACATGTATATTACTTTCATAATTAATAACCAGTTACCACTGAGCCTTCAGACACTGCAAACCAAGATGCTTGCATAATCTTTGTCCCCATTTATCTCCAGCTAGATGGACACCCTTCCTGGAGGGGCAGAGCAAGGTTGTTTTGTACACCCCAACTTCAGAGCAGTGTGGATGAGATTCTCATAGTCTGCTGAAAAAGAGGGGCCCAATGGATAAAGCAATTATTTTAAATTAAAAGATGCAGAAGTTACTAAATCTGAACAAGCGCCCACATTTTCTTTTTGGGAGTGGAACCAAAGGATGATTCAGACAGGGAGAAAGGCAGCAGGGTCTAGGGAATGAAGAGTCATGAGATTCCAGTTTTATTCCTGGCTCTACCCAAGACTTGCCATGTGACCACCAGCAAGCTACTTCTTCTCAGCGGGTCTCTCAGTTTTCCCTTCTTTAAAAGGATACAGTCTTATCCTCATCCTGTAATTTACTCTGTGATTTCCTTGCAAGAAGGGGGAGGAAGGGTACATATCAGTGATGGCGAACCTTTTGAGCTCGGCGTGTCAGCATTTTGAAAAACCCTAACTTAACTCTGGTGCCGTGTCACATATAGAAAGTTTTTGATATTTGCAACCATAGTAAAACAAAGATTTATATTTTTGATATTTATTTTATATATTTAAATGCCATTTAACAAAGAAAAGTCAACCAAAAAAATGAGTTCGCGTGTCACCTCTGACACACGTGTCATAGGTTCACCATCACTGGTATATATGAAGTGTAGCAAAAGGCTAAAGGCTGTGCTAAGCTCCTTAGACTTGGACACCAGGAATATATAAGTATTCCTCATTTACAATAAAGCATCTTAGTGGTATTTCTGATGTAGACAACTCATGAAGCAGGACATTAGCCTAATTTTATACAACCTGAAGTTTAATAGTTAAGCAATTCAGGTTCAAGGACATCATACGTTAGGTGGTATTACCTACTGAAAAAGTATAAACCCACAATCCAGCTCCAACAAGCATTTTAATACCCAAGAAAGGAAGCAAAGTATACCTGTAAATCAGATCTCCAGGAACTAGAACCATTCTTACTGAGAGGGAGAAGAACAGGTAATGAATGAAGGTAGGAAAGATATCTCACTTACAATAGTTATAAAGCTGTGTTTGCAGTGTCTGAGGGCTTCTTCACTAAATACTTTGGTTTCAAGTTTATAAAGCTTTCAGCTTATTTTAATGGAGGCTACTTTTTCTCTTAAAACAATTTATTTTAGCCTGACCAACGTGGCTCAGTGGTTGAGCATCGACTTATGAATCAGGGGTTCACGGTTCAATTCCCAGTCAGAGCATATGCCCGGGGTTGTGGGCTTGATCCCGGGGGCAGAGGAGGGGGCATGCAGACGGCAGCCAATCAATGATTCTCTCTCATCATTGAAGTTTCAATCTCTCTCCCTCTCTCCGAAATCAATGAAAATATGTTTTAAAAACAATTTAATTTAGAATAGATAAGTGAATGAGAAGTGAAATTTTCTTTACAAAGTTGTACTTTAGCACCAATTTTTTGCTGCAACATACCAACTCCCACAAGTGCAAAACATCTGAGAGTTAGTAGTACTCCAATACAATGACAACTGACATCCAAGATCAATTAACGACAAACCAGCAGCAAAGTTCCCTCTATTTCACAGGAACACAGCTTAGTGTGGAGATCTAGTAACATTTACATGAAGACTAATCAGATACATATTAATCATATGCTTAGTAGTTTTGGGGGCCCTTGCGTTTGTCAATGGAAGGCTCCATCCTTGCACACAAATAACTGACAACTTCACCCCACTGCATACCAACATTCCAGAACCTAGCCAGTAAGAGCAAGGACACAACTTTTGGCCTGCCATAAAATGTAAACTGTGCCTGGATCTCATCCTGTTGGAGACACCACAGATTGTTTTTATCCTAAAATAAATCTGCATAATAAGTCCAATGACAAGCAGCAGATCTATTAAGATTCATTTTTTACCTGAGGGGACAAACATCCCACTAAGCTTGGCGAGACAAGAACCATTCCGATTTCAAGATTCTAGGAGTACTTTAAATTATTTGAAATCATTTTCTAACTCTTCCAAAATAAAGCACTGTAAGGGCAGGAATTCATATATATCTCCTAGAGGCCCGATGCATGAAATTTGTGCAAGAGTAGGCCTTCCTTCCCCCAGCTGCCAGCACCGGCTTCCCTCCAGCACCCGGGACCCAGGCTTCCCTCACAGACCCAGCTTCATCTGGAAGGGCATCCGGAAGGATGTCTGGACTAATTAGCATATTATGCCTTTATTATTATAGACTAGAGGCCCGGTGCACAAAAATTTGTGCACTCGGGGGGGGAAGGGGGGAGTAGATGCTCAAATATCACATAGGCTATTAACTAATTACATTTTAATAAAGTGATTAAGGCCACCCATGGTAATTTTCTTCAAAAATAACTTGCATGGCATGAATCTGCAAGAGCACATGGTGGTGAGAAAAGTAATAAATTAGATAGCTGTAGCAAATTTCATTTTATTAAGTCTGAGAGGAAAAAAGTGCTGATAATGCTGATCAAAATAGATCCTCTTTTTTACAATAAGGATAAAGGTCAGCTCGGTAGCAAAACTTGGCTAATTGATTTCCTCATCCAATAATTAATTTGGTTCTGGGCAACTAATTGGAAGACTGGTCAGGGTTTCCACAAAGACAATACAGTAAAGCAAAAAGGCAGATCAAGTTGACAGAAGAAAACAAGTGAATAAACAGTAACTAGGAGAACCTACCTGTTACCATTATATACAGGTATAAGCAGATTTAAATATTTTTAAAAATCCTTTAAGAATATGATATCTTTATACTGAGTTAAAGTCACAATTGCAAAAATGTGCAATAAAACTAAGTTCAAATTCATTCTAAGTATAAAATAGAAAGGTTTTACCATACTACACTATGTATATATAAATACATATATAATATATATGCACTAGAGACCTGGTGCATGGATGTGTGCTTGGGTGGGGTCCCTCATCCTGGCCTGTGCCCTCTCACAATTCAGGACCCCTCTGGAGGATGTCAGACTGCCAGTTTTGGCCTGATCCCCACAGGCCCTACCGGGATCTGCCGAAACCTGACATTCTACATCCCCCTGAGGCATGTAGCAGTGCCAAAGCAGCAGACAGCCAGAGAGGAGCCCCAGCTGGGGCTGGGTGCAGCTCCTCTGGCACTCATCCCAGCCCTGATGCACTTGCCGCTGTTCACAGCTGCACTAGCTGGCCATGAGCCCAGCTTCTGGCTGAGCAGTGCTCCTTCTGTGGGAATGCATTGACCACCAGGGGGCAGCTCCTGCACTGAGTGCCTGCCATCTGGTGGTGAGTGTGTGTCATAGCAACCAGTCGACCAGTCAATCTGGTCGTTAGGTCATAATGGTTACTATATAATAAAGAGGTGATATGCAAATTGACTGTCACACCCTCGCACAAGATGGCCACACCCATGTGGTCACAAGATGGTCGCCACAAGATGGCCGGCAGGGAAGGGCAGTAATGGGTGATAAGGTCAGCAGGGGAGGGCAGTTATGGGCGACTGGGCCAGCAGGGGAGGGCAGTGAGGGGCAATTGGGCCAGCAGGGAAGCAGTTAGGCATCAATCAGGCTGGCAGGGGAGTGGTTATGGGGTGATCAGGCTGTCAGGCAGAAGTGGTTAGGGGCAATCAGGCAGGCAGGCAGGCGAGCAGTTGGGAGCCATCAGTCCCGGATTGTGAGAGGTATGTCCGACTGCCGGTTTAGGCCAGGGATAGGGCCTAAACTGGCAGTCCGACATCCCCTGAGGGGTCTCAGATTGGAGAGGGTAAAGGCTAAGCTGAAGGACACCCCTCCCCCCCCCAGTGCACAAATTTCAAAATTTCATGCACCAGGCCTCTAGTATATCTTTCTATTATCTATCTATCTAGATAGGTATACATATACCTATCTAGATCTATATAGATATATATATATATAGATATATGTATGTGTGTGTGTGTGTGTGTGTGTGTGTGTGTGTATCCTATATAATAAAGAGGGATTATGCCAATTGACCATCACTTCGCCACAAAGATGGTGGTGCCCACAGCGGAGGCAGGGGTTTCCATAACACAAGATGGCTGCACCCACAGCAGAGACCAAGTTCCCAAAATGAGCCTTAATGAGCAATCAGCAGGGACCTGAGGCTGCATGGCACTGGGCTGGGGCAGGGGACCTGCAGCTGCGCCCCCCGCCTGGTGGGGCTTGATAGGGGACCTCAGGCCACACCCTCTGCCCCAGGCCAGGGGACCTCAGGCGGCGCCCCCCACCCGGCAGGGCTTGATGGGGGTGGAGCCGGCTGGGTCTGGATCTAGCCCAATGGGGGTGGGGCCAGCCGGGTCTGGGTCTCACACAATTTTGAGGCACATGTGGGTGGGCGGGGACTTGACTCTAGTTCCTGTGGCATGCCCCAGACTTTGACAGGAGGAAGATTTTCATATACATTTTACTAATTTTCTTTCATCTTTGACACTTCTATTATAGAGAAAGGGCAAATAGCAATATTAAAGTATTTCCTCTAATTAATTCCCTTTTAATGTGCACAAATTTCATGCACCAAGTCAGTAGTAAAATAATAATAAAATAAAATTATTGTTACAAGTCACAAGCCTAAGGCAGGGCTAGATGCATAGTAAGAACTTGGGTGGAAGATGTTAACTTACTATATGAATGAGCAAATGGAAACTGCTCCTTGACTTTGGTGGTTTTCCATTCTGGAGCAAAAGGAAAGAACTTGCAGAGAAGAGAAATCAAAAGCCACACAAATCAGCACAGCTATAACTAGAAGTAGCAGGTGGGACCTTTCTGTTGGAGGACTGTACAACTGCCAGTTCACCAAAATGGGGAGCCCCCAGTGCCCTTGATCTTCCAGTTCCTCCACCTCTGCTACCTGAGGAAACTACACATACCTCTTCCTCCAGCTTTACCACCTTGGCCTGGGCATTGCTCAGGGCCTGGTCTCGGATTTCAATGTGTCTTCTTTGGTCCTCGTTGGTAGAACGGGCAGTGGCCAGCTCGGTTTCCAGCTTCTCCTTCTCCCGAATGCTCTCCTTATCTATAAGTACATGAAATGTCAACACTACCATTCTGAAGCTGGCTCAAAACCTTACCTGAGAATAACTGTCAATCATACCCATTACTAAACATTGTAGTGTTCTAGCACACAGATAAATGAACCAGATAGATCCGGACTCTATCACTGGCTCTACCACTAACTTGCAGTGTAAATTAAGAACAGTCACTTAAAAGTGGCTGTTGAGCAGAAGCAATGAGAAAGTAGAAACAAAAATTGTTATGAAAAGTATTACACAAAGGAGAACACACACACACACACACATCAAAAGAGTAAGTAGGCTTGTCTCCTCAATTTATATTGTGAAATGGTCTTGTATTGGTTTAAAAAAAAAAAAAGAAGCAGCCCCCCCCCTCATTTTCCCCATTGTTGCTTCATGAAAGTATATTTAATCAATCTAAAAATTATACTTCACAAAATGCACAAAAAACTCAAATCCCACCCTGTATTAACATTATTTTTTAACTGAGATCAATCTATAATTGCATTGTATCTACAGATGACAGTGACACATCTGGTTATTCTCCATGCCTTTCTAGGTCTTTCCCCTTCTAACTAGGACAGACTTCGTACCAGAAACTCAAATGAGCAGTTCTGATTCCCATTTGGAGGTAGAGTACTCTTCCTCTCGAGACCTTAATATTTAAGTTTGTAGGAAAAACTTTAATAGGGCAGCCTCACCTTCCTTCCTATTCTGACTTTACATATCTATTCATGTGCACCTTGAAAAGAAATGAATATTTGTTGAGTACTTATTGCATACCATATATTACACAAACTTTATCCTCAGAACAACCATATTAGGCAGGCATTATTCTCCTCTTCTCCATTTTGCATATGAGACTCAAAGGAGTTGAGTAACTTGCACAAAGTCCCACAATTGGTAACATAAGTAATGGAGATCATAATTAAGGTCAAGTTGTTCTAAACTCTTTCTAGCGTACCAGGCTGCCTTAGCCCAGGGTCCAGTTGGTTTGGCCTCTACAGTAGTTTGAGCACATTCCCCAGGGAGGCTTTTCAAGAGGGCTTTCTTGGCTCCTGCCACAGTTCCAACCAAAAGCAAAGTCCAAAGGCAAAAGAAATTAAAGGGCCACAAGTCATGCCCTCTTCCCTGCCTATAACATGGAGTCCACTTTTCCCTTCTAGAACCATTTAACAGTCTTTCACTCTGCTGTTAGTACAGTTTAATCTGCTAAATCATCACATATTCTAAATCAGTAATGGAACTACTAGGACACCTGAAATACCAACTCCACATAGAGAGGAGTGCCAACTAGCAGAACCAGAGCGAGAAACCATACATTTTTCTGTTTTGTTTTTTCCTGGGAGGCTGCCACCCTGTCCACCAGTGAACTAGCTTCCAGAGTAAACGTGACACTGGGAAAGCAACTTCAAAATGATTTACAGTAGGCACTGATGACACCAGAAAAACCACATTCCTTACTTCAAGACATACTGACAAAGGAACAGCAGATTCAGGGAAATGATGAAGAAAAATTCCCAGTTCTGAAGCCAGAGCACAATGGAGCAACCATTAAGGGAGGGGGGTATTGCAAGAGGAGATCAAACACACTTGTAAAAGCTGACTGGAAGCTGCATGGAATGACTTGAAAGGGTCATGTGCAGGCCCAGCAAAGATGGGGCCTGACAAGTCCCACCAAGCACTACTGCAGCTGGGAGCCATACTGAGGGAGGCTGGGGGTAGGGACACCCACTAAGGACATCTGCAGAAGTGGGGGTAGTTCATGTTTCCCCCGAACTCATTCTCCCTATGGACTCAATCCACTGTGTAGTTTTTATTGCTGGTTTTATTGTGGCAATTGGAAAGAATAAGGCATTGTCTTGCTGGGTGGAGTCCATTGGGGACCGATAAAGAAGAGGATTAATTCATTGTCCTGGTCTTGGGAGTATTTCCAGACAAAGGAAACACTATTTTAAGGAAGACATAGCTCTGCCCTCCCCCATAACCTCCATCTCTGTAGTCAGAGTCACTAGTTCAGGCCATAGCAATGGTCCCCCTCTAGCTACCCTTGTAATCCACCAAGGTATGATGATGATATGACAATATAAGGTGTTTTAACTAGAAGGGAGCCCCAGGAGCAGGTGGTTTTGCAAACACTAATCATCAATCCTGCAAGCTAATCCCATCTCCACCAGAGCCAGCACATGGAGCTTTCAACAACAAATCCCATCAATATTAAAAGACCCTATGGTCACTAAGGTTCTTTTCAGATCGCCACAACAAATGCAGGGACTTCAAGGGACTTTTCTGGTTTTATACAGAAGGAGCCATGTGGATATCACTAAATGTTGTGGCAAGCAGCCTTCTTGGCCTAGGAAACACACACACACACACACACACACACACACACACACACACAAATTCTCCCAACTTCATGCTTGAACAGGAAAAAATACTTCCTAGATGACATCCACTCTGCCCTGACTTTTCAGGGCTAAATAGAACTGTGTGCCCTTTCCCACACCTCATTCCCATCCGCACATTATTATCTGCTGCTAAAGCTTTCAGACTTACTTTTTGCAAAGAGCTGAGAGATGGTTTTTCTGGTATCCTCTGTCCCCTCGTATTCTTTCTCCGCAAGCTGTTTGTTGGCAGTCTCCAGACGCTCTGTGGAATTCGGACACAATCAACAGAGCCTCATACACAAACTTCCATGCACATGCTGTTGGCTCTCTCAATACTGAACTTGGGCAAACAAGCCGGCTTCTTCTTGTTACACAAAAATGGGTGACACAGACATACGTTTGTAAGTGTAGATCCCCAAACAAAACTAGAACATCGCAGGGAAAGAGGAGTTGAGTACTTAACACTTTTGGTCCACGCTGACAAAACCTAAATGCAGAATTCTACATTTCAACAAAGGAATCTATCCCTGAATATATATCTTTCATTCACCTAAAGAAAAAGCATCAGAGTTATTATAAAGTCTTTAAAACCCTGTACTGTCAAAACTGGAAGGGACCATAGGCAGCATCTAGTTCAGTTCCCTCATTTTACTGATAAGATAACCTAAATCCAAAGACAGAAAACAACATCGCCAAGGTCATCAATTGCAAAAGTGTTGAAAGTGTTGATGGTTATTTCTCACCATCTTTAATATTATCATGTTAAGGTAAAAATACAAGGAGGCAGTCCTAGAAACAATGGAGGATATCACTATTTCAAGCTTGTTCTGCCACAAGACTTGGCCTCTGCAAAACCTATAAAGGAAGAGAAGCAGCACCAATTGTGGGGGCGAGCTGGGTGAGTCCAGGACTCCCAGGACCAACTGATTAGTATATCAGCTCATCCCACTTTGATTATGCAATCTTGGGACGAAGTACTATTGTAGTCACAAAAAATATGCCCTGCAATTTATGAATCATACCAGTGGACTGAACTAACCTAAGAGCCTCAACTTGTGCTCCATAGCCCTTCCCTTCTACATCTTGTCTGATGCTTCAGAAGTGATTCCCTCACCTCTCAGATCCCTGTTAAAGTCATGCATCCTTCGAATCTCCCCCTCAAGCTTGTTTCTCATGGCTTTCTCCAAGGCTTCTCTTTTGGAGGATGACTTCACAAGGTTCTCATATGCCTCCGAGACACGCTGGATTTCTGTCTCCACCTGAAAAAAACAAAAGGAAAGATAGTGGGGAAGGTTGGAGCTCAATGGAAAGATGGTCTGAAAACATACATGCAAATCCTTAATGACAGCTTCCTCCAGAGCTTTATTGATGGCCAGGAGGCATAACACAGATTAGGAATGTTTCCCAGAAGGACAATTATCTCACTGGCTCAGGACAATTCCGAAGGTTAAAAAAAAAAATACAGTGTCTGTCTTCAGAGAAGGTAGTAGGAGAGAATAAATTTAACAATATAAAATGATTACCATATCTTAATTAAGAATTTTTTAAATCTGAAAATAATAATGTATATAGTATGCAGGTGATGTTACTCTAGAGCAGTGGTTCTCAACCTTGGCTGCACATTAGAATCACCTGGGAATCTTTTTAAAATCCTGATTTCTGGGCCTCATCCTCCGGAAATTCTGTTTCTTTGTTATGGGGTGGGGCCACAACATTATTAACAAAGAAACAGAATTTCCGGAGGATGAGGCCCAGAAATCAGGATTTTAAAAAGATTCCCAGCCGTAATCGGTTTGTTTCCAGAGGATGAGGCCCAGAAATCAGGATTTTAAAAAGATTCCCAGGTGATTCTAATGTGCAGCCAAGGTTGAGAACCACTGCTCTGGAGTGCTCAAAGGGCTTTCACATGTTTACTATTATTTCTATTCGCCTTGATATCTGCCTTCACAGGGACACCTCTCCCCATTTTAGCAGAGAGAAGAGTGAAATTGCCTTTTCAAACGTGACAGTAGTGGCAGAAGCAAACTGTAAAAACTCTAAGCCTCAGACTCATGCAGTAGTTCCGTTCAATTTAACAAATATTTACCAACGGCCAAATAAGGGACTATGGGGTATCTAAAAATGAGTGAAGATATTATCATTGGCCTCAAGAAGCTTTTTAGCTAATCAAGTAAAAGAATATGGAGAAAAAAAGAGACAGTAAGAGTAGTCCTATTAAGTGTAAGGAAGGAAGAGGTTATTCCTGGTTGGGGGTGAGGGAAGAGGAGGACAATCTCAGGGAGGAGGTGGCATTTAGAGTTAGATCCTAAAAGCTGGATCAGATTTCAATGAGCATAGGTGAGTGGAAGGGTATTCTATTCTGAGTTTGTGAATGCATTCCCAGAGTGACCAGTAGTTCTATTTGGCTGGACACTGTGGGGTACACAGAGGGAAGCTGATGAGATCTGGCTGCAAAGATAGACTGGAGTCAGATCATAAAAGGGCTTTAATGCCAGGCATTTGGACTTTATCCCATAGTCAGTGGGAAACCAGTACAGATTTTTTAACAGAAATTCATAATCAGAGTTGTGTTTTATGACACTCTGGCAAATCTTGTAAAATGGAAAAAACAACAACACAAAACATCAAAGAGAAAGAGTTTTGCCCTGAATCAGCCTGAACAGCAAGAAAATAAGAAATTAGACTCCAAAGTCTTTCTGTAACCAGTATAGCTTCATTGCACATATAATAACCACAGGACTATTTGCATATAATTTGAATAAGACAAATAAGCCCCATGGTGTATTAAGCAATTTTCAAAATAAATGTGATTCTTGCAACCATTCTACATTCCCTCTCAGTTTTCCACTATCCTCCTTAACAAAGCTCAGGGTGCTTTATGGGGAGAAATCTCAGGCTGAAAGCCTGGGGGAAAGGTGTGGTTACCAAACAACTCAGATTCCACCTGCCCCAGCTCCAAAATTATGCCTGATGCAGGACTTCCTGCAAACAAATGAGGCTTACACCACAGAAAAGAGCAGACTTGAGAATGTTTTTCTCCTTGCAGATGGCACCAAGATAACAGCACAGAAGGGAAAAACTGGTGAATGGCATTTAGAGACATGATCTGCAAGGCTTGGGCCTGATAAAGCTTCTGCGTGAAATTCAAGTGCTGAGTAGAGAAAATAAACATTTCCATTTGAAAGAGCAGCTTGGTGTTGGTCTGCTCTGGGCAGCCTTAACAAAGCTTTCCAGTTCTCCACAGAATGCCACACCTGGAAGGCAGTCCCTCTACTCAAGTTGTTCAGAGTACTATTTCAAGATCTTGCACCAATCCTTTCCCTGCCCCCCTGTGGAGATACTGTACCCTCCAAAAGGGCAAGCTGTACACGCGTAAACAGAACCTTCCAGGAAAAGAAGTCACAGGAGGGCATATCCACTAGTCTGATCTACGCAATGGTGACGGCTGGGGAGAGGGAGGGTGGTGGTGAGTTTCCAGACTTATTCTATCTACTTATACCCCTCATAAACCTTGGGCCTCCTTATTTGTTCTAGACCAGCTGGTATCTACACCTCATTCTCCTCACTTTCCTTTTCCTCTTCTACCTCACCTGTGCCTCTCATCCACTGCAGCACTGGGTTGGCTTCACTTCCCCCAACATTCAAGGTGTGTCAAGTACACTCAGTTGAGGCATCTTTACCCATACTTGGGAACAAACACCACAAATCCTATTCTGCCCCTCTTCCTTCCACCCACCCTCCCCCTAAAAAAAAATCAACATGAATCCATAGGTGAAGAGGGACTACAGAAGATCTGGGTCTACCCTTCAGTTACTACATCAAAGATGTGGCTGGGGCCACCCTGAATAGAGAATTTGGGGAAGGGTATCAACTGTTAAACCTAATCAGCCAAACTGTGCCAGTCTGCCTCTAGTGTGTGAATATGATCCATTTAGTGAACCAATGTGATGGGGTGGGGATGGGGGTATTGTTAAATGAATGAATGGGGAAATTTTAAAATTGGGGGCAAAGTCAGGGAGAAAAAGTTCTCACTTAACCCCACCAACACCCATCCTGATTTGGGAACATTGGGGGGAAATGTTTTTACTACATAAAGATACTTAGCTGAAGTAAGTCTTCCTCTCTCCTTTAAGACCCAGATTTGGTGTTTACAAATTCTCAGCTTGATTCAGGCCCCTGAAATTTCCACTTGCGGGTGTCTCCTAAGGACAGAGTTGAACAATACCAAGCAACCTTCCTTCCCTCCCCCACCTTCACCCTCACCTCCCTAAACAGTTTGCATTGTTGGGAGATCAAACCACAGGAGCTCTACAATGACAAAAGCTGCAAAGCGGCTGCCAAAGGCATAACCCTATTCACCAACAGCCACTGGAAGCCAAGAGCTAATGTTCCTAGCTTAGAGCACTCAAGAGCTCAAGTCCCAGCTGCAGGAGACAGGAGGGGCCCAGGAAAGAATGTGAACTGGGGACATACATTCCTTTTTCTACTTCTTCAGCCTAGGGCTGTCACCTGTCACCCAGCTGTGGTGCTAAGCCCCTCCTGCACTCTTCCACACACACCAGAGAGAGAAAGAGCAGATGTTGAATGTGAGCCGCAGGGAAGGACCAAAGGAAAAAAGAGGATAAGGAAGCGGGTGTTGAAAAAGAGTTACCATGGGAACTTCCACTTGGAAAAGTGCTCTAAGCCTTTTCCAGAACAAGGCAGGGCAGGATCTAACTTCAGTGGTGAGATTTTTCTAGAAACTATGATTTTATACTTAGGATTCAACTTCAGTATTAACTATAATCAAGACAAAAAGTCTTTATGCTGGTAGGTTCTTCATACGCAGACATCACCAGTGTTCTTGACCTTATGAAGAAGTTTCTCTGCCTATTGGGATTCTAAAACAATCAATCAAGTTTTCTTAAGGCTATGGTGTGTAGGAAAACTTCCTCCTCGCATAAATATAAAATGTTACTTCTCCTAGAAAGAAAGGTAGAGGCTTTTTCAAATTTTCATCTATATCTAACCTTCAGATATAAGAATCCTTACCCTAGTCGGCTTGTGGACCAAAGGGTCCCAGGTTCGATTTCAGTTAAGGGCACGTACTTTGGTTGCAGGCTCCTCCCGGCCCAGGCCTTGATCAGGGCTTCTGCAGGAGGCAACCAATCGATGTGTTTCTCTCACACCGATGTTTCTCTCTGTCTTTCCCTCTCTCTTCCACTCTCTCTAAAAGATCAATGGAAAAATATTCTCAGGTGAGGATTACCAAAAATAAAGATATAAGAATCCTTAAGACCTACACATAAGTGATGCAGGCTCCCGCAAATGGAGACTTTTACATAGATATTAAACATATAAGATCTAAAGGAGACTCTAATATCCCAATACTGAGGCCTCACCTTCTGCAGTCTTGCCACCTTCTCGTAGCATCCTTCCAACTCCTGCCGCAAGTTCCGGTTCTCATCTGAGAGGATCTCAACCATCTGCTGGGCTCTGGAAACAATGGCAAAAGGGTCTGCCGGCATTGGATGATAAGAAGCAGAAGACTGCTGAGCCCTAGGCATAGCTGAATAGGCTTCTCCTGGCTGTGGCTGCTGCTGCTGGTGATGGTGGTGGTGGTGTTGCTGCTGCTGCTGACTCAGGCCAGGCTGGGTGAGACGGTAAAGATCACTCTGGTGAGTCTGATTAGGAAGGAAATGTTGCTGCTGCCTAGGTAGGTGAGCCGAGTGGTCTCCTTGGTTTGGGACCAATGGATGTTGAGCAGGAGATAACCTAGTGGATGGTGGAGACTGCAGCAAGGACAAGGAACCCCCAGAGGTGAGGGAAGAAGTAGGGCTGTGAAGTTGAGAGTTCCTGGTCGACAACGGCAATGAGATGTCCTGTGTTGGCCTGTAAAACACGGAGGGTATATTAAGGTTAAGCTCTCTCTGAAGGCACTGGGGGAGAAGGGCACAAGAAAGTGACATGAGGAGGCTTTCAGTCCCCCCCCAGGACAGCTGCAACCTGAGAAGCAGGCAGTATTAGACTATGGAGTCTCTGCAAAGACTCCTTTCTAGGTCTGACCTTCTATGACTGCCTGACAGACAGAGACGTCATCCCGTAGACTGAGGATTGAACCAGATGATCTCAAAGGTCGCTTTGTGAAAATTAAAGTGATGTATGCCTATACACTTGGTGCTCAAGTAGGAGCATTTTAAATGAGTCTTCTTCAAGTTAATTTTTCGCCTCATTTTAAACTAAACCTTTTCTGACATTCTATATGTGGTCTGGCACACGTAAAGAGTCAAATTTAGAAAATATGTTCTACTTGCCCAAAAGGAAATAGTGAACAGCAGTCAAAAACATCCTTCATCTTGCTATCTGCAACTCTCTTTGATACTAATACATATATTCACAAAAATGAGGATAAGTAGATACTTTTTAGAGATACCAAATAATTGTTATTGATTACAGTTATTAATAACTGACTGAGGGAGAAACCAAGATGGTGGCATAGGTAATCACCTATATTTGTGGCCTCTCACAAACACATCAAAATTACAACTAAACGGCAGAACAACTACCACCCAGAAACACAGGAAAGCTGGCTGAGTGGAAGTTCTACAACTAGAGAGGTGAAGAAAGCGCATTGAGACCAGTAAGAGGTGCGGAGACGCAGAAAGTGCTGGCACCTGGATGTGCTGTTCTTTAAACCGGGAGGGAGATACAAGTTCCCGCTTGCTCTGAATTCCAGTTACAGGCAAGACTCTGGGAGACCCAGACATATACGGGGAGAAACTGGACTGTCTGGCATTGGGACAGGAACGTGAGGGCGGCTTACTCTTAGAGGTGCTCACAGCCAGCATTCATTGTTCCTGCATGGGTGCACTGGACGCGGAGAACCAGAGACTTCTCTGGTTCAGGGAAGCCATTGCTGTCTGCTCTGCCCTGGTGATTCCAAGAGACCCCGCCCCACCCAATTTACAACCCCCCCCCCCCAAGCTGTGC